AGAGCAAGTAACGTCTAAATTAACTTTTTTTTGCTGATGAACTGTATAAATGAGTGTCTAATAGTGTTTTAAATGTGTGTATTCATTATTTTAGCATTTTGGTGCATTTTCTTAAAAAATTAAAAATTCTGCCTAAATACCACAGTATAGCTCCACCTTCAGCTTAAAACATAGAATTTGACTCATTTTGAATAAATTTTAGCCAATGGCTAAAGAGTAAGATACTACGTAATCCAGTAGAGTACTACGTAGCAGCTCTGTGTCAACGTTATAAAAGCATCGGGAGTCTCGGCCACGCCTTGTGGCGAGTTGGGAGTTGGATTTGCATGAGAGTGTAGGAGGCTAGCCGTAGTTCAGCATTAGCGTATAGCATTAGCATATCCTAGTCTTTAGCATAGCTTTTAGTGTTATACATACTTATTTAGTGTTAGCTTGGCTGTTGGATATTGTAGTTTAGTTACTGTTTGGCTGTTAGTGTAATTAGGAAAGTAGTTCGGGTTTAGTGCTCCATATCGTGTTAGCATGGTGAGATGGTGTAGTGTAGTATGGTTGCGGAGCTCTGTCGGGTTGCACTCCTTTCCGCTGGACTTAGAAATTAGGCGCCAGTGGTTGCGTGTCTGGAAAAGATTCAGCTCCCGCCTGGTGCTGTAGTTTGCAACCAGCATTTTACCCGCGATTCTGCACGTCTCCGTTCCAAGAGGGAGGCTGTGCCCACCGTGGCTCTTCCGCGATTTAGATGCAGCCCACCGACTCTGCTCCCCCACCATGACGGGCTACAGTCTGAGGTGAGTAAGCTAAATAAAAGTTTTAACATCTTCTAAAGACAATTTCCTACCTAAATGCAAAGTTTGAGAGACGTGGTTCACTCCATTTAGCTAATATCAGTCTGCACTGCCTTCGGGCTATTTTGTCAAGTTCACAAAATGTGGAACGGGATGTAAGGTTAGAATCAGCGGCGAATCGGAACATATCTCGAAGCCCTGGCCGACAAAACGGTCCACATGACTGTCAGGCTCAGAGAAAATTCGGGTTGTTTTTGTGTCAGTCGGTAATTCAGCAACAGTGACTCTAAACTGACGCAGCACTAGTTGACAGACAGCATTACAGCGTGAAATCTAGCACAGCGTGACCCGGTTCCGTGAGGAATTCTGTTCAGGAGGTCGCATTTCAGGGTCTCCACATCATATGTGACTGACTTTTACTTTATAATAACATCACACACTAGGAATGTTATAAAGCGCCTATATGGGACAGTTTCTTTTGTATTTTATCTGACTTTATAAACATCAATGTGCTTCTATTTTTTTTTCAGGCTAAATCTACCCAAGACACTGGCTGTCAGACTGATTTAGTAATCTGCAAGAATGCACTTGTCCAGGCTGACGTGGTGTTACCCGTAGCAAAGGTGAATTATTTTTAATAATCTTCTATGTAAACATTTTATTACCTTCTAGTTTTAATTTGTTTTACAGATTGTTACAAGTGATTTTATGCTCTTTTAAACATTTATAAATGTGCTGCTTCTTTGTTTTTATAGAGCTCACAGCCTCAGTGTCTTGTGACACAGGGACCATGACAGAAATTCATCTTCCAGAAGGTCCCAGAGCATCCACACCTCCTGAAAAGACCAAGGTGTGAGGTGTCTGCTGTTGATTCCAGCTTCCACCTCAGTGACAGTGCAAGCTCAGTGAACTGTTCAAGGTAAAAAAAAAATTAAAACATTTCTGAATTTTTAAGATATTAACAATTAAATAAGTATGTGATTACATCATGAAGGAGGCTACTGATTCTGGCCCTGTGACACTTGGTGGTCACCACCAGGTGGTGACGTGTGAGCTGATTCACCTGGTAAATAACTTTTAAATTAAATATTTTGTTTTTGCTATCAAAAGTAAATTAACTAATAACCTGCATTACTGCAGGACACTCAGCAAAATATGGACTCTACACCATGAGGCAGGCACACGTTAATAACTCTATAAGAGCACATAAGGTAAGCAACACCACATATTATTTTTATTACTGTACACTGTCCTGGATTTGTTTTCTTTCTGCATGATTTGTTTTCTTTCTGCATCTCATCATTAGCCTGGCTGATCACCTGATAACTCCTGTCATCTGGTTATGACAGCATGAGGATGTCCTCACACACCTGTAACCTATCAGCTCATCTGGCAGAATAGAGAGAGAAGAGACAACACCACATCTCCTGTTCCTGGAAAGCCTTCAGCCATCCTTCGATGACTGAGAACCTCCATCAGCTCTGTCTCCTGTCTGCCTACAATTATTATAATAAATATTGTGTTTGACAAGTTTTTTGTGCTGCCAAATATCTCATTTTGATTCCAGTTTTGATATTTTAATGGATATTTATAAATTACATTAATTGAATTATCACATTGTCGCATGTTTAACTAGCTCTATTGTGATGAACTAAACTAGCACCTCACTGTTAAAAGCTCGTTTTAATTTCAAGCATGTTTAAGTATTTATGGACATGAACAAAAACAGGAAATATATAAATTGAGATTTATTTAATTAATATAACAAATAAGGGGGAAAGAGTCATTGAAAGGCACATTCTTCTGGAAGTTCCTGATCCCGACGACATCAGCAGGAGACCAGCTGCAGACACCAGAGGATCACCTACAACCAAGAGCAGCTAGTATCAGTAAATAAATAATGAAATCAGGGCAGTTTTAATGGGCTGAACACATTACAGAATAATTTTCTCATGGTATATTTTCATAACTTTATGCAGCAGACTAGCTTGAGCCCAGATCTCCTGGAGAGCTGCTATCCAGCACGTTTCAGTGGATTTTCCTGCTTTAACAGGTTAGATAAGCTGTTAAGCAGCTCAGCTGTTTGTTGCTGATTAAAACCAGGTGTGTTGATGCAGATAAATCTCTAAAACATGCTGAATACTAGCTTTTTAGGGCCATGGAGACAAACCCTGCAGCTAATCCAATGCTATGGCTAACGGCTACTTACGTTCAGAGATGGGTCTGTTGGGTCGGTTCCAGTAATTTCAGGCAACTCACAAGCTCAAAACAATAAGGCTCATGTCCGCTTGTCTCCTCCAAATAGACTTGGTCCCTTTCTTCTCGAGTGTCTGGGTAAGGAGGGGGAGAAACGTCCTCCACTTCTAATGACTGCTCAAAGTGAAGGGAGCTAGCTTCGTCTAGTTAGCCGTCTCTTCGTCACTGCCACGGCTCCGCCCTCTCGGTCCTCCAGGCAACGCCTACTAATGTTGCAGTTTTCAAAATTGATACGTGGGTGGGGTAAGACTCTGAGGCACACTTGACATGCACTTTAAGAAAAATTAACATGACATCTACTGCATTTTCCTTGGCCGGACTCGAACCTGGATCCTCCGGGGCGAGAGTCACCCGCCCTCCCAGCTGAGCTATGCCAGCAACTACTGAATATCAGACTTTTTTATATAGATAGGGGTAAAGTGCGGGGTAAACTAACCAATCAGAGGACAGAGAAGATCTGCCACAGGCCACGCCTCCAGAGTGCCAAAAGCCCTTACAGCCAAGCGAGCAGGAGTCAGAAACCGAGCGCGCAGAGAGGCTGCCGAGCGCGCACGTTTTCCTCTGCCGTGTGCTCGTTGACAACGCGCGCACGCAGGTTTGTCACTTGTGCACATCCTTGTGCGCTCACAGACACAGTTTGCTCCCTCTCAGTGCACAAATGACCTCTCGCCATGTATATTTCCGCTCGCGAGTCCCGTTCACACGCGCGCTGCCATGTATATTTGCGCTCGCGAGTCCCGTTCACACGCGCGCCGTGGACCCAATGCGCGTGCACGGGTTGTGGCACGCTTTAAACGCCATACACAGTCACCTGGGCAAAAGAAACTGACAACTCTTTTTCCGTTTGAGCCCTTGTAGATCACAAAGCTGAGGTCTTTTAAAAGCATCTCCAATATGAATTCTACTCTACTGTTTTAGGTGTCTCACTTTGGGTTTGGCTTAAGGACTTTGAAGTGATAGGCAGTCGAGGAATTGGTAACACTGGTATTTGTTTTGGTGCTTTCTTCTGTGTGCTGGGGACTGCTGTGTATTATTTTTGATTGACATCTCCCTCTTGTGGATGCACAACTATATTGGTCAACACTCTAGGCTCTCATTAAAGGGACATTATGGAAGTTTGACAGCCAGAACATGTATAGAAATAATAAATTTATTCTTCATGCATTCTCCTGCAATGCCCTGGTCCTGTAGAATGAGCCCTGGTATTTTTACTGTGATTGCCTGTTTTTCTGTAAAATCACAGAAAAAGAGAGCTGCTCGGGTCGAGCAGCTCTCACGCTCACACGTGAGCGTTCACGCTCAGGCATAGCCCATAGAATTTGCTATCCATAGCTTTAGTCTTGGCCGCTATTCCTAACGCCTAATGACAAAGCTAGCTACATTTCTGAGGACCCTTAGCTACTTTCTGTAGAACTTTCTTCAAGATATTTCCTGCAAATTAGCAACAAAATAGCCATTTTTGCTCCGAACTGTTCTTTGAACATTGTTTCAGCTGTCGTCAAGGATATAAATGTTACAGATCAAAAGTTCATCGCTGGCGCTATAGCTCACCTGGTAAGACGTCAGACTCTCGTGCGGGAGACCCAGGTTTGGTTCCGGGGTTAACATAATTTATTTAGAGTTTCTGTTTTACATTAATGGTATTTTTTTTTACAGTAAGATGCTCAAATTTTTATTTGAGACTCACCGAACGGCATTGAATTCACAGATAAAAAAGATGTGGGTTCAGCTTCCATTTTGGAACAATTTTTCAAGCAAGGAAAGGGAATGAACTGAGCATGCAGGACTGACCCATCATAAACCGTTGTCTGTGCTGAAGAGAATGGTACAGAACCAAATTATTTAATTAATTAGCTGTGTGTTCTTCTGTCCTCCGGGCCCCACACACACACACACACACACACACACACACACACACACACACACACACACACACACACACACACACACACACACACACAAGGGACTGTCTCAGCTGTTATTTTCGTTAAGGAGTGTGCACGTACAGCATGCGCGCCTCGTGGACGAGCCTACTATTGAAGCTGCTGTTACACTTTTGGCCTGAGGGGGCAATCATGAGCATAAAAATTCAAAACTCTGTAAAGTCCCTTTAATGATTCATTTTGCTGTAGAGGCCAGGGGAGGGAAAGGTGAAAGATATTGTACCTACTTTATATCACAGAACAGGGTCAGATAGTTAAAATTTTAAGTTACTTTAAAACATTTCAACTGTGTATCTCAGCTTTAATGGTGGGACCATACTCACTGCTAGTTCTCTATTTTGTTCATATTTAGTGGGAAAATCGCACTTTAAATCAAAGTTTTGCTTTTGTTTTGCATTACAGGTGATAGCTGCCTATGACTTCACTGCAAGGGGAAACCATGAAGTCTCCCTTCGGGTCGGTGAACCGGTTTGTGTTCTGGAGCCTTATGACAAACGGGGGAACCGAGAATGGAGCCTGGTGGAGGCCATAAGTGGTCAAAGAGGCTACGTACCCTCCAATTACCTCTCCATGAAGCCTGTCGAGGCAAGGCCACCTGGCTTCGTCTTCTGATAGGAGGGGGCACAGGAGCAAGTAAACAAAAACAGTGATATGTTATATTATATATAATATATTATATTATTTGCTTATAGTGCTGCAGCTGCCAAATGAACAACAGCATACATGTAGATTTTGACCTTTTTTCATGTCAAAACCTAATTTCAACTAGATATCAGTGCAAATATGTGGTGGCTGCCTTGTTGTTAGTTTGAACCCAGCTGGAACATTTTGAAACCAATCTTCACTGCCTCGTTAACGGTGATTCTTGTGCAAACAGGTGCATTGAACATTTAAAATCCTTGGAGAAATTGATTTAAACCTTTTGGTCAGGTCTCACACCTTTTCTACAAACATTAGAAATATGTTATTTGAACTTGTTAATGAAATATTTACAGCAGTAAATATTCACTAGAAGTTAAACAGTGCAATGAAGTTTAAAGTAAATTAGTTTATTCCTCTTTTATGCACCTGCTTTCAGAAATAGATGTTGATAGTTCTTGTTTTTATTATGTTACATGGAAGCTGCCTGCTGACTGAACGTCATGTGCTCTGGTTAAACATCAGCCATAATGTGTGCAATAGGAAGTGTTTGAGGTGTTGCTACATATTTGTGATGCATTACCTTTTTTTAAGACTTTAGCTCAACATAACCATTGTCTTATTTTTGATATATGTGACACACTGGATAACATGAAGGTCACATTGTGTCGTTTGACCCGTAGACTCTAAAGGAAGCATAGCAATCTGCTTTTGTTATTTGAAGGATAATCTTGAAGGTGTTGTGCATGTTCTATAAAGTGCCATAGGATAGCTCAGGATGCTCATCTGAGCTGAATGTAAGGAGAAAATTGTTCAGATAATCTTGACTTATTTCCCACGATCCTCAGCGGGAAAGAAGGACACGGGGAAAAGAGATGGGATGTTCTCATTAGAGGGTTTCTGTGTTAGTGGGATAAATACAGCAGTGAGACACAGAAAGTAAAGGGTGTGTGTAACCTCTTATATGAAACTGTGCTGACAGGTGCTTATGTGTGTGTGTCGTCTGCTCCTCCACCTGGAAGCAGCAGCATCAGCGCTGTATAGAGACTGACTGGGACACAGCACTGTCATCATTGCAGTCTCCGTAATGTGATGTAAAATATCTCAAGGGCTAAAGAGAAGGAGCAGGGACGTAAAAAACAAAGTGAAGTAGAAATGCTTTCTGAGAGGAGGACTGATGGAGGTTGATAGTGTTTTCACCGTTTCAACCCTCGTTACATTAGAAAGCTGATTCCTCCGTTGCATGTTTCACTTAACAAGGTGTAAATTATCTGTATGAAATGGACCAGACAGGATGGAGGCGAGTCAGGCGACCTACTTCTGTGTTCATATGCACCTAATAATAGTTGTTGCCATGGATACGGTTCAATCAATGCAGACAATGTCTCTGTAGCTTTTTCTTCAAGTTGACTGGACCCCTGAAAATATTCTCCCACAGCAGCATAATAGATCAGTTCAGCTCAACTCAACAAAAATTACGAAACATGCATTATTGCAGAAGATGGTTTAAATTACTAAAGTTTAATGAAATCATCAACCTGAAATGTTTTACACGTTAACAAACAGAGCCTAAAAGTATTTATGCACTCTGAAGACTTGAAATGCTGAATGAACTAAACCAAGTTATGTCATCTGGTTCCACTAAACCTAGTTTCCTAAATGTTAAGAGTGAAATACATTTACTTTTAACCGAACAACATATAAGAATGTATATTGCTCTTTTTAAGCAATTAGGTTTGATGGGGCCATTTGACATAGCATGGTTAATTCAACAATCTGTTTTTTACAGTGTACTTGTGTTATGGAAAGTGAATTGGTATGGAAGTAGAATCACTTGTTTCTTAAGATTGACAATTTCCTTTTGCCTTAAAAATTTTAAGTAAAAAAAAATGTACAACACAATCAGGCAATTCCAGGCCTGGAGGGCCGGTATCCAGCATCTTTTACTCTGTTTCAACACACCTGATTTTTTCAATCAGCAGGTGATTAAATGACTTCTGCAGAGCCTGGTGAGCTGCTGCACAGGTGATTCAACCACTAAATCTAATGTGTGGGAGCAGATAAACAACTAAAACGTGCTGTATACCGGCCCTCCAGGACTGGAAGTGGACATCCATACTATCGTTGCTGTAGTGCTACAGCTATAAACCAGCATTACAATGACATCATGTGGACTTTTCCCACAACTAAGTCTTCATCAACCATTTAGATGAAACGTATTTGAGCTCATTCCGTAGCGTCTCAAACTACTTTGGTTTTATGCCGTTTCTGCTGCGGATGTGGACCAGAGGGGAGGAGGGTCAGACTCCGAGCTGCTCAGCTGGAGTTCAGCTCTTCCCATCAGTCTGAATGTCAGAAAGCAGCAGAGCAACAGGAGGCGCGGAGGGAGCATGTGCAATAACACTTACAAAACACCACAATAGCAAATGTCCTAGAGGTTCAGAGGGAATAACTGGAAAATGCCTCAACCTGAGAACATTTTACCCCTTCTTACCTCTTCAGAGGCCCTTTTATCATGGTTGGATGAATAAATGTAATCATTCAAAACAGCTTCTGTAAAACAGCTGGGAGCTAATCTTGACTATGTGAATGTTTAAATTCCTACAGATGACAAATTAACGTTTATTTTTCATTTATTTGGATAAACCATGTACATAATGTTAATACTGAGCTATTTTTTGGATGAGGTCTGAAACCACATGCCAAAAACATGATTCAATATTAGATTTAACTCATGAACATCACCAAGGCCAAAATATTAGAAATGATTGTTTTCATACCACATGTCCACCACTAGATGGAGGAGGTGACTCACGTTATTTGTGTTTTATGAGAGCTTTTCTTGTTTACTTTGTAATTGTCAAAGTGGGTTTATTTGCTTTTTATATGAACATCATTACCTTTGTTAGTATTTACTCTGACATAACATGAGAGCAAAATTAAAGGACATTCTGTACATTTTGTTCATACTGTTTACTTTTCATTAAGCAGCTTTCAAACAACTGTAGTTTTACAACCTGGTTCTGTTTGTAATTTATTGTTATGTATTTGTGTTAAACCCTGGTGTGATTTTAACTTATTGGAGGCTGCAGGGCCACCGGTCCTGAGGTGAAGCATGAAGTCCTTTAAGTGTTGCCAAAGTGGTGATGTTGAGGTGTTTTACTCACACGTGTGTTCACACAGCAGATGGGATTTTGTGCTGTGCAGCAGCTGTGATCCGACTGCGTGACTATAATAAAAACAACTCTCAAACCTCTTCTATGTGCTGGCCTCATTTTACCCAAGAGATGGACGTTTAGGTGGTGAGTACAAACGAGTATTAATGAGTGGGAATTCTAGCCAGGTTTGTTTGTGTGTTTGTCAGTTTATTAAATAATGGACTACTTGTAAATTCTTAGGTCATGTACACACGTAGCCAGGCTTTTGGATACCAAATGTCCTCACCTGCCTGTATAGAAAAAACACATGGGCCCACACCACCTCCTGTTCAGCACAAAACAAAGTCCAATGTATCATGAAGCGTATTCATGGACATGCCCTGCCTTTAGGCGGCAGTAGTTCTCCAAATTGTTGACAACTTTGCTGAAAAACATTCCTTGGACGTAGAATAACTAGGTGTTGGGCAGTAATCATCCTTCATGTCGTCCTTTGCCTGTAGTCTACACAGAGTGATAATTAAACTTGTAAAAACGAGCAAGAATACACCAGTTAGGTCGGAGTTTTGACAGAATGGTAGACAATGGTAGAGTTAAAATGTATATTTTGCCCTGTTAGTATTTTTTCTTCCCACACCCTATACCCACTCATGCTATAAAATGAACTACACAACAGGATTATCTTAAACATAAGAGAGTAAATCTCCTCTGACTTGGCATGGCCTCCAGATCTTCCATTTTACCTGAACAAGGGTGGAGGAAAACTTCATAATGTGAATTTTACAGATATTGAGCTAAAATGTCATATTAGCTGTGCATCAATACCATCCCAGAGTGCTAAGCACGATAAAACACTTAATTGCATTCCTCTAAGGAATGTTAAACCTATAATTTTTTATATTTGGGTTGCCACTGAATCTATTTCGGTGTGATGTGTTTTTACCCTCTACCACTGTTCTAAACGTCAGCTCCTACAGACTCCGTGTCATTTGAGAATAGATTTCTCTTCCCCGGTAGAAACCTGTGGTGGCAGATTCTTAGACTAGAAATGTTTGCGGAGTAAACGGCTCCTTTCGTGTTCCTGCCTCTGCAGTGTGAGCAGGTCTCATAGCCACACTGGGATGATTGTTTATACAGCAGCTGGTTCATTTCTTCACTTGTATTATTACTACCTTGTAGTTTATTAGATTTTTTCACATCCCACTTACTATTGTTTTCTCCAAATGTTGAAAATCAAAAAACGAGTCATTTTACTTACTTTACGTTTGGGCATTGAGGAGGCTTTACCTTTCCATTTGTCTAACGTGCACCATTCGTGTGTTCACACAACCATTTGGCCTGAACAGCTAGTTTGTGTTTATAAGTTACTTGCCGTCCTCTCAGCATCTAATTTCATATTTTCTAGGTCGACATCACTCAGCAAAAACTGCCATCAAGCATTCGGAAGCAGCTGGCTCATCTTTTATTAGCATCTCTTCAATTGATTTTTAGGCTGACTCTATTTAGGTTATTGATAAAGAGGCAAGTTAAGAGATGCTAAATGGAGAGCGAAGCAAAAACATCCCAGTATTGATTTGTATTAAAAGGGAAAAATACACAAGATGACAAATATGAATGATATTATTGCACAAACAAGAGGGGAAGGAATGCATTGTGTTTGAGCTGATCTGCAGAGTAACAGAGCAAACGTTTTGTTGAAGAAACCCACAGTTAGACTTGCACTTAACTCAGTTTTTTACTTAATCTTCAAAGAGCTAATGCTTCTTGCAAATCTCTCTCAACAGTATTGATATTTTAACTGTAGGAAACTTAGAGGTTCCAGTCAGTATATGGATCGTCTTTGAGATTCAACCAAGACTCCACAAAGTCTAAAGCAGTGGTGTCCAAACTTTTTAAAAGGCTATAATCATCAAGTTTAAAGGCCTCGTGGCTCGACGTGTGGCAACCGTGGCACAGGAGTTAAGTGCTCGCCTTGTAATCGGAAGGTCGCAGGTTCGAGCCCCGCTCTGTCTGTCTCTGTCGTGTCCTTGGGCAAGACACTTAACCCACGTTGCCTGCTGGTGGTGGTCGGAGGGACCAGTGGCATCAGTGCTCGGCCTCCTTGCCTCTGTCAGTGCGCCCCTGGGCAGTTGTGGCTACATCGTAGCTTATCCCCACCAGTGTGTGAATGTGTGAATGACTGATTGTGTTGTAAAGCATCTTGGGAGGTTCCAGGACTCTAGAAGGCGCTATATCAAATATAGGCCATTTACCATTTACAAAATATTCATTTGTTTATTAGAAAAATGCATAAACACATAATATTTATGTTAATTTACACTGCTTAGAAATAGGCCTAGAATAGGCATATTTATAAAAATCTGATCATAAAAGTTCTTTTTACATCAGCAGCCTACTGAGGGCCACCCAATCACTCCGTGTTGCTTTTTAGATACGCCTGGTCTAAAGTCTAACAATATTAATAGAAAAACAACAGAATACCGTTTACCTAATAACTAATTTTACGTGCAAAAAGACAGATTTAATTTTCCTACAACAAACACTGGGAGTCAGTTAATTAAAATCCTCCATCAGAATTTTTCTACAGTTTTTTGGCATCTAAAAACCAGAAGACGGAGATGTTTGCGTGGTTTTGCACCAACTGTCCCCATTGTGATTTAGAGTTGCAAAAAAGATTGGTTTAAAAATGATTCATAATTCATTGAAAAATTCTATTCCTTGATTTAACAGACAGATTAATAATCATGACACATTTAGTTTCTACATATTTGTAATTCTCCATCTGAGAAGGAGCACAGTTATGTAAAAAGTGCTGGAACTGACTGGACATTTTTCAGTCTTCTGCACAGGAACACGGGGACCACAGCTGCAGATTGTGTTTTTTTCTCAGAGCCCAGAGCTTCCAGTGGAATCTGAGCAGACGAAATTGTGTCTGAGCCGTCTCCACAGAGAGCATTAACGGGCTTCAGGAGGCACTTGAGTGTGAACTGGAGAGCTTGTTCTGAGGCTTTTAAAGGGGCACTTAGAGCACTGTGTGGATGCAGCTTGCACGAGTTAGGATGCTCAAGTGCTCTATGTGTTGTGTGCAGACACGTGCACGCACAAAAATCGGTTTGTATTTGCATTTCTAAGGAGCTAACCTTCTTCTTTGTATTGCGTCTGTGAGCCTCTTACTGAGCAGACTGTTCCAACGTGTGTGTGGCTTTGAACCGAGCATGGAGATGTGAGCATTCATGGGCACAGCACACATCAGCAGCTGCTTGATACAAGGGAGCTCCTTCAGGCACATGGTTGCCTTTAAATGACTGCATGTATGTGTGTGTCAATGAATTAGCCTTAGACTTTAAGAATGTGTGTGTGTGTGTGTGTGTGTGTGTGTGTGTGCGTGCGTGCGTGCGAGGGAGGGTGGGGTTTGCTGCCAATACATGAAATTTTTTCTTTGGGTCTATCATTGCAGGCTTCACCGAAACTCACTCTGGTTTTAGATCTTTTATGGTCGATCCTCTTCTGGGAAGGATAATGACTCAGGTGAGACTCAGGCCCTGTCCAGACGTAGCCGGGGATCTGCCAAAACGTGGATATTTTTCTACGTTTTGGCCTGTCATCCACACGAAAACGGAGTTTTTTCACACGAAAACGGATCTTTTTAAAAACTCCGGCCAAAGTGAAGATCTGCGTTTTCTCCGTTTTGGGTGTCTGCATGTGGACAGACAAAACCGGAGTTTTAAGGTCCGCAACGTCACTTTCCGCGACAAAAAAATGCTGACATCACGTGTGCGACCTGTGTTTACACTAGCCGACAGCATGGATGTCCTCAGAGCTGCGCTCGCTTTATCAATTGTCCAAGCGCTTTTTGCTTGTTTGTTTTTGCAAGCAGAATCACTGCTCCTTGCGGAAGACCACAGACGAAGGACGAGGTTAAGAACGGGGAAGTACTGCCGCCTACAGGTCTGGCATGTCCTTAACAACGTATTTATCCGGGTACGTGTGGGCAGAGTTTGTTTTTTAAAATGAGGTGGTGTGGATGCAAGTTTTTGGAGGGGCGGATATTCGTTTTTTAAAAAAAACGGCTACTCGTTTTTTAAAAAAACGGCTACGTGTGGACTAGGCCTCAGAAGCAGCTGCTTGACTTGTGAGTCTGTGGCCTGTTTGGTAGTTGGTAACCTGCAATGGTGCCCTCTATTGGCTGGTAGATGTAAACATTAAACAGGTTTCGTGCCAAGTGTTTCCGCTCTACACATAAACAGATTGCGTGCGAGGAGGAAGTGAAAACTTGCACAGGAACGAGGAGTAACGACGACGGCTTTGTGTGAAATAATTGACAGTTATGCAGACCAATGGTTCAGATGATCCCCTTGGAAGAAAAAATCCTCCGCTATACCTTTATTGCAGAGAAATAATCGTAATAAAAAAAAGGTTTATTTTTTTATTGTGGGGATTTAGAAAAATCTGTCTACTTAGAACAAACGTTAAAATATTGCCTTGATGCAGGGAAATAAGCATAATTAAGTTTTTACGTTTCCATTCCAATTTGTTTAATTTTAAAAATGTATACGTCTACTTCGAACAAACATTGATTAAAACCTGCTTTGATGCAGAAGATTAGGTTTTTGTTTTCATATATATTTGTACTTGGTACAAACAATAATTAAAATCTGCCTAGATGCAGAAAACCAACAAAATTATGTTTGTGTGTGTGCGTGTGTGTGTGTGTGTGTGTGTGTGTGTGTGTGTGTGTGTGTGTGTGTGTGTGTGTGTGTGTGTGTGTGTGTGTGTGTGTGTGTGTGAGTGAGTGAGTGAGTGAGTGAGTGAGTGAGAGAGAGAGAGGATGAATCATTTTTTTGTACATATTTGTGTGTGAGGCTGGACCTCAACACTGTAGTAAGGAACAGATTGTAAGCTAAAAATATCCCTGCTGCAGCTGAGACTGAGCTAAAAATAGACACAAAACTCACTGCAGCATCCAAAGGACAGCAGAAGAATTGCACTCAAGTGTTTATTAGTGTTGGAAGACAGGAATTTTAGAGTCTTTGATGAATATTTGTATGTTTAAAATAAAATGTATAGCTTTTGTTTTTCTTGAGACACGAAAAAAGAAATG